TCTCGGGATCTTGGGCACGCACGCACACACGCCCGGCATGAGTTTTAAGCCACCAGGTCCAGGACGTGAACCGCGGTCGACTACGTGGGAGTCCAGCGACATAGCCATTACACTAACTGCTAGTTCCCATAGATTTTAATATATCTTAAAAACCAGTACATCAAGCAAACAAACAAACAAACAAAAAGATCAGTAAGGGTAATAAGATATTGGGGGTCAGCCCTATAGCCTAGTGTTTGGAGGACCCAGATTACATAAGACCAACACGGTTTGAATCCTGGCCTCAGCAGTTTGAAAATCTATTGGTCGTGTGTGTGTGTGTGTGTGTGTGTGTGTGTGTGTGTGTGTATGCACATGCCCAAAAGCCTGATAGAATGGAAAGATCAACAGAAGGATTCACGGTATGACCATACCTTACTGGGAGGTGCTTTCTCCTTCCTTTTTTTCTCTCTGTCCCTCTGTCTTTCACTGGCAATAAAAAAAAAAAAAAGAACCAGCAAGTGTTGTGGTGGTTGAGGCACTGGATCCCACCTGGCCAACTGCATGGTTTGAATCTGGGATCTGGCAGCTTGAGAACACACCAAGCGGGTGTGTGTACATGCCCAAAATCCTGCGAGGGGAATGGAAGAATTGTGGTGTGGCCCTACCCCCTTGGGGGGGGGGTGGTTTCTCACTTTCCCTCTCTGTCTTTCTCTGGTGAGCACATGCACCTTATACCAAAAAACTGGGGGGGAAAAGATATAAAAAATTGATACCACATAATTAACAGACCTTGGGTATATGTACATACACACATATGTACACAAACTCACGGATTCTAGTTTCCAACAAAATCTTGACAAAGTGTATGTACAACTGCTAAAAAAATTAACTACATACTGGAACAAAAACACATGTTCACTTAATCCCAAAGGTTACTAACACATATGATATATTTCTGACCATGCACATAGATTAGCGTCAACAGTGAAGAAAGGCAGTCAGTAAGAGGCCCAGCCATGGTGGTACAGCGGTAGCTTAACACTCTGCAAGCTGTTCTCAGATAAACAAAATTTGAAGCAATTTACCAACTCCAGACTAGCTCTTCAAAAGGTTCTGAAGGGAGTGCTATACCAGGAAAACTAAAAAGTCAGACAGACAGTTATACAAGAACAAAAAGCAACCAAGAAAATGGCTCACTTAATGATAGGAACAGGTACGAAAATATCGATAATTACATTGAATGTCAATGGATTAAATTCTCCAATTAAGAGACATAGACTGGCCGAATGGATAAAAAAACAGAAACCCTCTATCTGTTGCCTACAAGAAACTCACCTTATGGATAAAGACTAAAAGTAAAGGGCTAGAAAAAGATATTCCATGCAAATGGAAATCAAAAAAGGGCTGGAGTAGTGATATTGTTTTCAGACAAAATAGATTTTTTTTTTTTTTTGGAGAGGTTTTCACTATAGGGCGCGTGCGCTCGCCAGACAGAGAGAGACAGAGAGACAGAAAGCGAGAAATCACCCCCCGGGGGGATGGTCACACTGCAATCTCTTCTCCTCCATTCTCCTCTTGGGATCTTGGGCACGCATGCACACGCACCCGGCGTGAGTTTTAAGCCACTGGGTCCGGGACGCGAACCGTGGTCGACTACATGCGAGTCCAGCGACATAGCCATTACACTAACTGCTGGTTCCCAAGACAAAATAGATTTCAAGACAAAGACTGTATTCACTTATTATTTCAAGAAATTTTTTCATGGAGACCTTTGGGTCTTTTAAGTATACCATCATGTCATCTGCAAATAAAGATATTTTCAACTTTTTTGCCTATTCGAATGCCTTTTATATTGTTCTCGTCTCTGATTGCATTAGCTAAGACTTCCAGTACTATATTAACGCGCAGTGGAGAAAGCGGGCAGCCTTGCCTAGTACCCGTTTTTAGTGGAAAAGCTTTTAATATTTCCCCATTCAGTATAATGTTAGCTGTAGGTGTGTGTGTGTGTGTGTGTGTGTGTGTGTTTTAGAGGTTTTTGCTATACATCCAAAAATCGATAGCATTTCTATATATGTACAACAGGTTGAACAAAGTAAAGCTGAAGAAAGAAATCCCTTTCACCGTAGCCACAAGATGCATAAGATACCTAGGGATAAACCTATAAAAGTCAAAGTCAAAGACCTTTATAAAGAAAACTATGAAAATCTTAGAAATACTGAAAGTGACATAAAAAAGTGAAAGGACATCACATGTTCCTGGATTGGAACAATTAACATAATATAAATGGCAATTCTACCCAAATTAATCTACATGTTTAATGCAATTCCAATCAAAATACCAGAAATATTCTTCACAGATCTAGAAAAGACAATCATAGAATTTGTCTGGAATCATAAAAGACCTCGTATTGCAAAAGCAATCCTGCGTAAGAAGAATGGAGTAGGAGGCATATCACTCCCTGATCCCAAGATATACTATAAAGCTGTGGTCATCAAAACAGCATGGTATTGGCATAAAAACAGACATGTGGACCAATGGAAGAGAATAGAGACCCCAGAAATAACTCCCAAAGCTTATAGCCAACTGATCTTTGACAAAGGATATCAGTCAATCCATTGGGAAAAGGAAAACCTCTTTAGTAAATGGTGCTGGAAAAACTGGGTATCCACCTGCAGAAAGATGAAACTGAACCCCCATCTTTCACCATTAACAACAGTCAACTCAAAATGGATCAAAGATCTGAACCTAAGACCTCAGACAATAAAACTACTTGTGGAAAATGCTGGGGAAACTCTGGGAGACATTGGAGTAGGCAATGTCTTTGGGAGTAAGACTCCCAAAGCACAGCCAATAATATAGACAAGTGGGACTTATATCAAATTAAGAAGTTTCTGCACAGCAAAGGACACAGTAACAAGTGTGAATTGACAACCCTCAGAAAGGGAAAATATTTTTGTTAAATGTGCCTCAGACAAGGGACTGATAACTAGAATATACAGGGAACTCAAATGCCATATGTGAAAAAAAATGGTTAGCCTAATTAAAAGATGGGAAAATGAGTTGAACAAAAATCTAAGGAAGACATACGAACAGCCAAAAAGCATATGAGGAAGTGCTCAACATCCCTCATCATAAGGGAGATGCAGATAAAAACCACAGTGAGATACCACCTAACCCCTGTCAGAATGGCAAAGATTAAGAATATAAAAAGTGCTAAGTGTTGGCGGGGATGTGGTGAAAAGGGGACCCTCCTACACTGTTGGTGGGAATGTAAACTAGTTCAACCACTATGGAGAACAATATGGAGGTTCCTCAAAGATCTACAAATAGAACTACCATTTGATCCAGCAATCCCACTTTTGGGTCTCTACCCAAAGGACAGAAGAATGCTAAGTTGGAAAAGTGCTTGCACATATAGACGAATGAATAAATAAAATTAAAAAATAAATAATTCTTAAAGAAAGAATGATTTTACAAAAAAAGAAAAAGCAATGTAATACACTGTAAAGTTATATGTGATTCAATGTAATATAAACAAGATTATGATGATAATAAATAAAATTTTAAAAAAGAAAAGAAAAGGATAGCAAAAGAACAAATAGGCAAGACATTAGTGGGACAGAGAAATGGTTTATTACCTGTTGAACATAAAATTTATAGTATTCTCAACTGCGCTGGTCTGAGAAGCATTTCATGTTGGGTAAATTCTTTATACAAGTCAAATCATATATAGTAATTGAATGCTTAAAAATAATGAAAATATATAACAATAATCTGGAAAAAATGATGAAAAGCTATTTGATGATGATGTGGATAGTAATGTCTTTGTCTTGAGCAATATACATGGTAATTGTGCTGGGAAAAATGTAGTACACTGTAAAGATATATGTGATTCAATGTAATATAAAAAAGATTATGATCAGGACCAACAGTTAGCGTAATGGCTATGTCGCTGGACTCCCATGTAGTCAACCGCGGTTCGCGTCCCGGACCCAGTGACTTAAAACTCACGCCGGGTGCGTGTGCGTGCGTGCCCAAGATCCTGAGAGGAGAATGGAGGAGAAGGGATTGTGGCGTGGCCATCCCTCCCTGGGGGGTGATTTCTCGCTTTCTATCTCTCTGTCTCTCTCTGCCTGTCTGGTGAGTGCACACGCCCTATAGCAAAAACCTCTCCAAAAAAGAAAAAAAAAAGATTATGATCATAAATAAAATTAAATTTTAAAAAATGTCAGAGACAAGTCAAGGGGTACACAATAAACCAGAAAAAGATATTTATATATATATATATAAAAAACACTCTGCAAGCTGGAAGCCATATGGAAGTTAGGGTGCAGTTCCTAGGTTGGCTGTACACACTGGGGTGCACATTGTGTCCTGACTGGGGAGGGCTGGGAGAATAATTATGAAGTGAGACCCTGGGGAGGATTGCCTTTCTCTTTCTCTTTCTCAATTAATAAATAAATAAACAAACTTTAAATGAACAAACCAACAAGCCAACTCCATAAGACCACAGATATTCAGAAACTAAAGAACATACTTACTCAAAGTAAAACCAGGTCAGCTGGCAGCATGGTTGTGAAGGTGGCTGGATACCACAAGGCCAACCGCATGGTTTGATTCCCAGACCCAGTGACTTTGAAAACACATGTGCGTGTTCCCAAAATCCCAAAAACAGATCGCAACGTGGCCCTCTCTTCCGGGGGTGCTTTCTCACTGTCCCTTTCTCTCTCTGTCTCTAGTGAGTATACATGCCCTATAGGAAATTTTAAAAATGAAAGTAAATCCTTCTGCTTGTTACAAGGCAGACAATATAGAGGGATATATAATAAAGTGACAGCATATGCCTCCCCAGTGAAGGTGCCACCCGGAGACAGAGGCAGAGTTCCTGTTGGTACATGGCTACCCACCTTCTCTGTGCCAGCCCATGCGTGTGCTGCGGGTGGGGTGCGGGAAGGAGGATTATGGTCCCACTAGCAGCAGTGGCATCTCTTGATAACTGGTCTCTCCTCTGACCTAAGGTGACCGTGGCGGCTGATATAATCTCATGTGACCCAAATGAGTATCCGTATGCAAATATCTGCTGTCAACGCTGCCAGGCTGGTGAGTCCCAGAACACTTTCTAGAACCTTTCAGGGCTGACCTTTCAACCTGAAGAGAAGGGAGGTCACAGAGCAGAACAGGAGGCTTCCCTGGGTAGGGAGAACTTGGCCCATAGTGGTGGGTGGGCCTCTCTCAGCAGACACCCACTATTTGCCCTTCCACCCCACCTCAGAAGGGATTTTCCTCTGCATCCCCTTTGAGAACAGCACCTGTGTGAACAGAGGGGCTGTGGGCTTGTTGTGAGGTGCGACTGCTGTGTTCTGCAGGGGCTTGGAGGACAGCAGTAGGGGCACAGGCCCAGGCTGGAGGCTCCCACCTACCCTCTGTCCTCAGGGACACAGCCAAGGGTGGGAGACTCTTAACAAGGAGATGGTAAATTTCACCCCCTGGAGTTACTCTGAGAGTGGAATTAGCCCCGCAGAGCAACTGAGGAGCCAGAACCTGCTCTACCCACCCCATCTCTCATCACCAAGGGCAGTCAGTACCTGAGCCTTCCCCGAGGAACTGGTCAGAGGCCAGCATGTGCACCATCTGTGCCCCCAGAGACGTACACACACACACACACACACACACACACACACACACGGCTGCACTGCTTTACCAGTGAAATTCTGCCTTCACAGGTCTCCAATTTTAACTGGCTCGTCACTCACACCTACACCCCTATTTACACCTACACACACACCATATTTTATTCATGAATCTGTGCCTTTGGGAGACTCCTGTTTTAGGGATCCAGTGCCTACACTTGGACCACTTACCGTCACACCTTCCCTGCACACACCTGCACACACATGTTCTAAAGCACACATGTGGGGCCAGCAGATGGCGAAGCAGTTACATCACTGGACTCTTATGTGGTCGACCTCCATTCAGGTCTCAGACCCGGCAGCTTAATGCTCACACTGGGCACATATTCATGTGTGTCTAAAATTCCGAGAGGAGAATGGCCATCCCCACTAGGGGATGATTTCTTGCTTTCTGCCTGTCTGTCTCTCCGATAAACACACGTGCTCTATAGCAAAAATCTCTCTTTAAATAAATAAATGTACACATATCTATCTACACAGCTCTATGTGCACACACATGTTTAGTGTATTTGTACACTCACCTGCAGATATATCTGTATGGACACACAATTACACACGCTCCTGTGTGTGCCTGTATGTCCACACCTATTTGTACACACATCTATGAGTAGACTCACTGCAGACTGCATATATATATGCACAGCAATTGCATATTGCTGTAACTGGTCTGATGTGGATTCTTCTGAACTCATCATGTTGGGGGTACATGGACTCAGAGCCTCTCCCTGGAAAGGTGCAAGTTGGCCCAGCTCCAGTCTCAGCTATGGTTCTGTGGAAACCCTGGAGGGAAGCACAGGGCCGGGGCAGACACCTCTGTGCTGCCAATGGAATGACGAGGCCAGAGTGGGAGGCTGGGCTGGGTGAACAGGTTTTGGCTGCTCTCAGTGTGCAAGCCCCAAACCAGCTGCTTCCACATGCTTCAGGACATGGTACCAACCAAGTGATGACTCAGAGCCGCCGTTCCTGGGACACATATGTGTTAAGTTTAATGTGGAGACTGAGGTCAGGTGTCAGCCCAGAATGTTCCAAGAAGGTGGGAGGCCAAGGGGTGGGCGCCTGGGGATCTGGCCAGCACATGCCTCGGGGACAGGTCAGATCTTTGCTGGAGCTAGACCTCAGCATCCTGCCTCACCTGGGCCCTGCCTCTCACACAGGCCACCACATCAGCAGGCACTGCAGCCGGAACCATGGCGTTGGCGAGTGTGCGCCCTGCGAGCACAATACCTTCATGGCACATGCCTCTGACAAAACCGAATGCTTCCCCTGTGTCCAGTGCCGGGACGGTGAGTGTGTGATGCGGTTAGATGCAGCAGTCCATCGAATGTTTTTGGTTTGGAAGTATTTATTCATTTAATTTTGTTATTATTTTTTTAGAATGTTTTCATTTAATTTTATTTATTCATTCATTTATTTTAATTTGACCAGAGAGAAACACAGAGAGAGAGAGAGGGAAAGTGAGAAAGCAAGCCACTAGGTCCAGGACTCTAACCGTGGTCAGCCAGGTGGGAGTGTCTAGCGCATTAACCACCACACCACCTGCTGGTCCCCATGTTACTATTATTATTTATTTTTTTTTTTTTGGAGAGGTTTTTGCTATAGGGCGCGTGCGCTCGCCAGACAGACAGAGAGAGACGTAGAGACAGAAAGCGAGAAATCACCCCCCAGAGGGGAAGGTCACGCCGCAATCCCTTCTCCTCCATTCTCCTCTTGGGATCTTGGGCATGCACGCACATGCACCTGGCGTGTGTTTTAAGCCACCGGGTCCAGGACTCAAACTGCAGTTGATTACAATGGGCGGTTGACTACGTGGGAGTCCAGCGACATAGCCATTATGCCAACTGCTGGTTCCCAATGTTACTATTATTTTTTTTTGTAATTTGACGAGAGAGAGATGGGGCAGAGAGAAAGGGAAAGTGAGAAAGCAAGCCGCCAAGTACAGGACTTGAACCACAGTCAACTATATAGGAGTCCAACCATTACGCCAACTGTTGGTCCCTATTTAACTTTATTTATTTATTTTAATTTGATCAGAGAGGGACAGAGTGAGAGAGAGAGAGAGAGAAGAAGAAAGAGAGAGAGAAAGATTGGGAAAGTGAGAAAATAAGCCACCAGGTCAGTATTTGAGCTGCAGTTGGCCATGTGGGAGTCGAGGGCCCTTAACCACCACTTCACCTGCTGGCCCTGGTAATTTTTTTT